TTTATTAATTTTTATTTGAATTTTTTTGAACTTTTTCGTCGCGCTGTGATGACGTCACAGCGCGCTTTTGTCGAGCGCGATTTTGTCCTACGCGCTTTTGTGGTGGAACCCCAAATTGGAGCAACATGCCAAAAGGGATTCTTTTTTACAGTATCAAATGCATAGTTCGCAGCTGAAATTCTTCTACATGCTCATTGTAATGTCCAGCTCAGTTAGGATTGGCTTGGCATAAGCCAAGTTATTCCTCACTTCCATTATAACATATTTTAGGTTCACTCTTCTGAAGATTCAGAACTTGCTACACCCCAACTACACCTGCCCCGCCACACCCCAACTACACCTGCCCTAGTCAGAGGTAGTGAGGTTCAATTCTATTTTAGGCCCATGCCCATGAGCTTTCAAGCTCCTTCCCTTTAATACTCTCCAACAAACCCACAAATTCCATCACACTTAGCTCTTTTGTATCAATTGATCTAGTTTCTAGTTTCTATTCTAGGGAAATAAGAAGTAAGTTGGAGGAAAGGAAGGCAGGAGACTGGTAGTCCTTAAAAATTCATCCAGAAAAGAACTGTGGTAGACAGGGAAGCTGTGATACCCCTAATGTTGCCCATTTCCCTTGCCACTGGCAACAATGATGTGGGTGTTGGGATGATGTGGGTCAGGATTTATGGATTCACAGTCCTAGTGGGCAGCAGGAAGAAACATATCTCTAGATACTCATTGGATAGATAGCTATAAAGAGTATGAAAGGATTTTAAGTCATTACCCAAAGGTAGTTTAATTTTTTTTTTAATTAAGATGGTTTGATTGATTGATCATGTGCCATCAAGTTGGAGTCAACCACACAGATGTTTCCCCCCCCCCCAAATCTAATCCCAGCCTGGTCCTTCAGGCCTTCCAATGCCAGTATAATTGTGCTCTGCCACCTTGCTCGTTAATATTAATTACTTAAATTCAAATGTATGGATCTGCCCCACTTGCAAAACTACCTAGACAACTCTTACCGGGTGGTCGTATATATAAGTTTTAGACCCAGAAAATCAGGATATTTTTTTTTTAATTTGGCAGCCACTTTTTTAAAAACTTTCACAGACCAAACTTTACCATGAACTTTTCCATTCGCCTCATATATCTGTGGGCAAAACAAGAACAAAAGTTTAAGCCATGTGAAAAAAGCTCCTAAAGGAAAATACGTAACCACTTGCTAACCTAGATCACCAGGAGGCAGTATGCGACTAATTTCATAGTAAAACTGGACTCATTGGATGTATGTAGCTACTGGTAACTCTTATTCAAACCACAGAATAAGATCTCTCCAATGAGTCCCAGTATAGGGCAAAACCAGTTATCTACTGCCACCTAGAAATAAAAGCACTAGATACACTGTGCATGATATAAAAATAGATTTCCCCTTCTCCAAGAAGGGTGGTAGAAGTCACATATGTGATGTAACATCCCCCACTCTCTCCCTCCCTCCCTCCCTCCCTCCCTCCCTCCTACCATTCTGGTAGTTTTGAATTTTGATTATGATGTTTGAAAACCATATATTTTTGTCCATTCTGTCAGGGACACCCAAGCTGTACTTTTTCAAAGATCAAAGAAGGAAGAGAAAGGGGATGGGGGAGGGGAAGGGGAAAATGAAGAGGAAGGAAGAGGAAAAGGATAGGGGGACAGGAAGAAAAGCAGGAGATGTAGAAGGGGTGGGGGAAGAGGAGGAGGAGGAGGAGGAAGAAGAAGAAGAAGAGGAGAAATGTATTACCGCTGGCAGGATAACTCTGATCTCAACATACTGCACATTATCTTTATAGAGTTCTAGCAGCCCTTGATACAAATAGGACTTAAACACAGGTGCATAATTAATAAGGCCAGAAGAGATTTTAAAGATGCTTTCAAATTTCTTCCAGATGGAAGCTTGAGTTGGGTAGGTCTCCTCTGGAGTATCTGTTACTAGGGT